CCCTGAATCCCCCAAATGCAGCAAGTTTCGGGGTTTTAGGGTTCAGGGCACTCTGAATCTATGGGCTTCCCTGCTTGCTACCTGGCCTAGGTTTAATTTAGGTTAAGTAAGGGGGTACTTGGAGGGTAGTACAAGGGAGTGGTTAGTGGAAACTATCATGAATACCCAAACCATTTACAGGGTGAAATCTGAGTTTTTTTTACGATAAGTAGGGAGTGGCAAGCAAAATGGAAGCTTCTGCAGTCTTTCGGGGTGGGGTTTAGGCTTTAGAGTTTATGCTGAATCTTTATATGTTTGGCTCTCCAGCAAGCACGATCTAAAACGAAGCTCGCAGTGGAAACCTTCCCCCTGCACACACACGTCGCAAATTTCTGCTACTTCTTATGATTTATGCATACAACCCCGTACCTGACCCTGTACCCCGCCATTGATCCCCAGGTGTCGCGTAACTCAAAAGCAAACCAAGCAGGAATGGAGTTGCATGCCGCTGTACTTCCTCGCTTAAAACCAATGACTTCAAATCAAGGAAAACTTTTGAAAATCCCTGGCATGCGGACTCTATGGCCCCTCAACCCAGCATATGCTTCACGTAATCCTAAACCACCCCAACCCCTAGCCATAAGTAAGCGATGAACAACTCTTTCCCTGTAGCATGGGAGATTCTCACGATCACCCCCATAGAATCCTCAATAGTCACAGGTGCCCTCCAATAATGACGTTAGAATGTCTATGTATCCCCGAGGTCTCAATGGCATCCCAAATTTCAGGGGCTCGCATGTGTCTCCAGGCCCATTCCCGGTCTTTGGTTAGGCAGGAATCTTAACTTATGGTGCCCCGAATTGGACACCCAATATATACACCCACCAGTAGTCCTCACAGGAACCTTATATACACTCACCAGAAATCATAACAAACGCCTTACTTGATAGTTTCCCCAAATAGGGGGACCCCAATGTCGACCCCAACATACTACAGTGCTCCATAGGGACCCCCCAAAACATGCCAAGAATTTGCGAAAACCCTAAACCCAAATGAGCCATAATATAAACTCCTAGTATCCTCCTGAATAACCCTTGTAGTAATCCCCTGTATACCCCCCTTTAAGGAGTTTTCACTAAAGCTCATATCATCCTTACATACTTTCCCATAAACTCCTTACAGGGGGTTCATAGGGAGTATATAAGGGATTATATAGGGGACTACTATAGGGGTTCTTAAGGGGGATACTAGGAGTTTAGACTAAAACTCGAATAAGGACAGGTCTCTTCTCGGGCTCTGCATCTCGCCTGAAGTGGCTTCGCATGGTGCCACGCCAGACTGGCTTGCCTGACGCAGTGGCCAAGGCTTTGGGTGCATTGGGATCATAGGTTTAGGGTTTAGGGCTTAAGGTTTAGGGCTTAGGGTTTAGGGCCTAGGGTTTAAGGTTTTGGGTATAGGGGGTGTTTGGGATCATATGCCCTCAGCCCTTAACTGGGTTTAAAGTTAGTGCCCAAGTTGATTCACCCTAGACTAGACGGGATCTAACTTGAGGCTTTTAAGACTTTAGGATACAGGGTTGGAGGATTTGGAGCTTGGGGTTCAGGAGTTAGGGTTGAAGCTTTGGGATTAGGTGTGCAGGGAGTTGGGGATGACGTTTCTTGCGTAGGGATCGAAATCCTCCAAGGCCCTAACCCCTGAACTCTAAACGCTTTTGAAAGTGTACTTGAGGCTTGAGGATGACGGAATCCGAGGTTTCTTGTGATACATGGGGTTCTGCGAGGCTAAATGGGGAGAGAATTTGGAGGGTACTGTTTGAGAACTGAAGTTGTGCAAGCAGGAATGCATTGATTACCCTAAACCCTGAAACCTAAACTGCTGCTGGCCGCCCTCTAACGTTTCGGCCTGAAGTTTCTCTGCTCTTGTTTGCTAAAGAACTCTCTAAGGCCTGTTTCCCCGTGCCTTGGGGTTTAGGGTCTCGAGGAGATGACAGACTTCCATAAGTCTCAAGCCTTACTATGACGGTGATCCCATGAGATCTCCCAACTTGCCGACATCTGGATGCCCCCTGCCTTTGCTTTTTCCAGCGCTGCTTTCCAGCCATGACATCACCATTGCGTAGGTGGGGTGCTGATGCTCCTGAGACCAACATGGATGCACAACGCCCCAACATCACTAAAAAATCATGGGTTCCCCTACGCTTTTACACCTATTTTAAATAAGCCTAATCAAATAGGGTAT